ATCATCATCATCATCATCATCATCATCACACCAGAAGCAACTTGCTCCTGACACGACAAATTATTATTATTATTATTATTATTATTATTATTATTATTTCAAGGATAATGACTATCAAAAGCTGCACATAAACAGCACCTTCCATTCTAGTGTGCAGAAACAATATATTTCCAAATCACAGATGGTCAGCTGAGTAAAGTTGCTGGCTTTGGATCCTTTTACACTGCCATATAATCCAGATTATCAAATCAGATAATCCACATGATCTGCTTTGAGATGGATTAAATGAGACTACATTGCCATATAATCCAGTTCAAAGCAGATAATCTGGATTTTATATGGCAGTGTAAAAGGGGCCTAGAGTCCCACTGGATTATATGACAGTGCGGAATCAGATTATCCCTGAGATAAAACAATTACTTTTATGAGTGGATTTTCCAGCTGCTTATCCTAACTGTTGCCCTTGTTTAAATGAAGTATCATGTGAACTGAGTAGACAAGGATTGGCAACCATCCTTGATGAAACAGTTAGTAATGATGAAGCAAGCCCTTACAAAGCGTCACCATGTAGTCGAAGGATCATTTCATTCATGACTGATAAGAGTCATGCAATGATGCAAGATTGTATAACGCCTTTGAATTCCTGACCACACTTTGAATAGCACAGTTACCGTTATTTCCCTTGTGGTTAAGGCATTTTTGATTAATTATTAAGCCGTCGCAAATGTGGCTACACGTGAGAACATTCTTGTTATATTTAATGACAGGAGTAAGAACTGAAAAGAAAAATGGGTTCCCTTGGAACTAAAAAGACCAGTATCCACTAATTGCATTGATGCAAATGTATCTAAACACATAGAAGCTCAATGTATACATACAAATATAAATGTCAGAAAAACATAGGATTGTTACATTCACATTTCATAGAATCATAGAATCAAAGAGTTGGAAGAGACCTCATGGGCCATCCAGTCCAACCCCCTGCCAAGAAGCAGAAATGTTGCATTCAAATCACCCCTGACAGATGGCCATCCAGCCTCTGTTTAAAAGCTTCCAAAGAAAGAGCCTCCACCACACTCCGGGGCAGAGAGTTCCACTGCTGAACAGCTCTCACAGTCATTTAACAAAAATAATTTGTTCTTTTCTCTAAAGATGAAAAAATTCTTCTTCACGTCTGTGGAAATAGTACTTGTGTCTTTACTATAGATGAGTAGACTCCAAATCCTTACACAGCAAATGTCCTATTTTCTTTATTACACAAGAGTAGAGTCCAACATTCAACCGGTTTCGACTCACAGGAGTTTTCATCGGGTAGTTGGGTCTATAAACAATACATTTTAATAATACACACATATAGTTTGTCAACTGGAAACATCCAGCTTCTAAGTATGTGTATGTGTGTGTGTGTGTGTAGTATGTATGTGTGTGTGTATGTGTGTGTGTATATATATATATATATATACACAAGCTACTTACTCATTTATCAAAGTAACTCAATATTTGAGGCAAGTGGTCTATTGACAGATTATCTGCTTTGAACTGGATGTAGTGTAGTATGTGTGTGTGTATATATATATGTGTGTATGTATGTATGTATATATATGCGCGTGTGTGTATATATATATATATTTGAGGCAAGTGGTCTACTGACAGATTATCTGCTTTGAACTGGATTGATCTGGATTATATGGCAGTGTAGGTAAAGGTAAAGGTTTTCCCCTGACATTAAGTCTAGTCATGATCGACTCTGGAAGGTGGTGTTCATCTCCATTTCTAAGCCGAAGAGTCGGCGTTGTCCGTAGACATCTCCAAGGACATGTGGCCTGCATGATGCATGGAGCGCAGTTACCTTCCCGTCAGAGTGGTAGCTATTGATCTACTCACATTTGCATGTTTTCGAACTGCTAGGCTGGTAGAAGCTGGGGCTAACAGCGGGAGCTCACCCCACTCTCTGGATTTGAACCTTTCAGTCAGCAAGTTCAGCAGCTCAGCGGTTTAACCCACTGCACCACCATCATATGGCAGGGTAGACTCATATAATTTAGTTCAAAGCAGATGATGTGGATTATCTGATTCGATAATCTGGATCATATGGCAGTGTAATGTAATTCAGTTCAAAGCAGAAGATGTTGATTATCTGTTTCGATAATCTGGATTATATAGCAGTGTGGACTCATGTGATCCAGTTCAAACTAGATGATGATTATCTGCCTCGATAATCTGGATTATATGGCAATGTAGAGTCCTGTAATCCAGTTCAAAGCAGAAGGTGTGGATTATCTGATTCAATAATCTGAATTATATGGCAGTGTGGACTCATGTAATCGAGCTCAAAGCAGATCATACAATCATAGAATCAAAGAGTTGGAAGAGACCTCATGGGCCATCCAGTCCAACCCCATTCTGCCAAGAAGCAGGAATATTGCATTCAAATCACCCCTGACAGATGGCCACCCAGCCTCTGTTTAAAAGCTTCCAAAGAAGGAGCCTCCACCACACTCCGGGGTTGATTATCTGCTTTGATAAATCTGGATTATATGGCAGTATGGACTCATGTAATCCAGTTCAAAGCCGATGATGTGGATTATCTGCTTTGATAAATCCGGATTATATAGCAGTGGAGAGTCACATAATCTGGTCCAAAGCAGATGATGTGGATTATCTGCTTTGATAAATCTGGATTATATGGCAGTGTGGACTCATGTAATCCAGCTCAAAGCAGATGATGTGGATTACCTCCTTTGATAAATCTGGATTATATAGCAGTGTGGACTCATATAATGCAGTTCATAGCAGATGATGTGGATTATCTGCTTCGATAATCTGGATTATATGGCAGTGGAGACTCACATAATCCAGTACAAAGCGGATGATGTGGATTATCAGCTTTGATAAATCTGGATTATATAGCAGTGTGGACTCATGTAATCCAGCTCAAAGCAGATTATGTGGATTATCTGCTTTGATAAATCTGGATTATATGGCAGTGTGGACTCATGTAATCCAGCTCAAAGCAGATTATGTGGATTACCTGCTTTGATAAGCGTAGAAGAGGCCTCCATCACTTCAAAACTGCTGTTTCTTCCTATTCAGACATGTGGGTACATCATTAAACCTATCTTTTTCCCTTTGGTTTCATTCAATCCAACAACTCAGCCATTGAATACATAACAAATTATGGCTGTTACTCTCTACCTTGCGTGTAAACACAGCCTTGGATTCATTGGAATGACTTCTGTTCAAACATGAAGAAGAGAGGGAGAGGCTAGAACATATCCTGGCAGCCTCGCGATATCGCCAAGTCTCGCGAGAGCTGCCCAAAGCTTGGGCGCTTTGTAGATCCCACTTACTCTCACTCACTCACAATCCCGCCCTCAAGAAGCGCGTCGCCCCGCCTCTCTATCCTGATTGGCTGGACTTAGTCACATGACAGATATCAATGTCAAAATGGCCGCCAGACGCTTTATCTCTAGTTCTTGACTATAGATATAGGTTAAATTGTAGAGGTATAACACACACATCTTGGCAGGATCTTGAGCATGCTCAAGATCCTGCAAGGAAGACTCCAGCAATACATGGAGCGAGAGTTGCCAGATGTTCAAGCTGGGTTTAGAAAAGGCAGAGGAACGAGAGACCAGATCGCCAATATCCGCTGGATAATGGAGAAAGGCAGGGAGTTTCAGAAAAACATCTATTTCTGCTTCATTGACTATTCTAAAGCCTTTGACTGTGTGGATCATAATACATTGTGGCAAGTTCTTGGTGGGATGGGCATACCAAGCCACCTTGTCTCTCTCCTGAGGAATCTGTACAAGGACCAAGTAGCAACAGTCAGAACTGACCACGGAACAACAGACTGGTTCAAGATTGGGAAAGGCGTACGGCAAGGCTGCATCCTCTCACCCAACCTTTTTAACTTGTATGCAGAACACATCATGCGATGTGCGGGGCTTGATGAATGCAAAGCTGGGGTGAAAATTGCTGGAAGAAACATTAACAACCTCAGATATGCAAATGACACCACTCTGATGGCCGAAAGCGAGGAGGAGCTGAGGAGCCTTCTAATCAAGGTGAAAGAAGAAAGCGCAAAAGCTGGGTTGCAGCTAAACATAAAAACCAAGATTATGGCAACAAGAATGACTTACAACTGGAAAATAGAGGGAGAAACCGTGGAAGCCGTGACAGGGTTTGTATTTCTAGGCGCAGAGATTACTGCAGATGCAGACTGTGGCCAGGAAATCAGAAGATGCTTACTTCTTGGGAGGAGAGCAATGTCCAGTCTCGATAAAATAATAAAGAGTAGAGACATCAGACTGGCAACAAAGATCTGCCTAGTCAAAGCCATGGTATTCCCTGTAGTAACCTACGGATGTGAGAGCTGGACCTTAGGGAAGGCTGAGCGAAGGAAGAGAGATGCCTTTGAGCTGTGGTGTTGGAGGAAAGTTCTGAGAGTGCCTTGGACTGCGAGAAGATCCAACCAGTCCATCCTCCAGGAAATAAAGCCCGACTGCTCACTGGAGGGAAAGATACTAGAGACAAAGTTGAAGTACTTTGGCCACATCATGAGGAGACAGGAAAGCCTAGAGAAGACAATTATGCGGGGGAAAGTGGAAGGCAAAAGGAAGAGGGGCCGACCAAGGGCAAGATGGATGGATGGCATCCTTGAAGTGACTGGACTGACCTTGAAGGAGCTGGGGGTGGTGACGGCCGACAGGGAGCTCTGGCGTGGGCTGGTCCATGAGGTCACGAAGAGTCGGAGACGACTGAACGAATGAACAACACACACACACATTGAAGTTATTGTATTGGATTTCAAACTTGAATAGAACGTATAGCATTTCCGTGTTATTTCCATGGCCATTTTTGTCTTTAGATCCAAAAGGGATATCAATAAACAATGTTACAAAATGATGACCGGAAGTTTAGCCGTCGTGTCACTCTATACTTTTAAGAGTCTATCTTTTCTGGCTCTACCGGAAGTCCAAACATGGTTTCTCTAGGAATCATTTCAACGATTATGGTTGCGTGCGCTGTTGCATGCTGGGAACTTGGAGGAGTAATGGCGCCTGAGGCCTAGCGGCGGAGCTCCTGGCAGAGACGGAAGAACGGTAGGATGGGTTGGAATTGGTTTCAGATTGAACTAGAGCTTTCTTTCTGAACTAGAAGCGAGGCAGGAACTAGGCCTTGTTCGCATGGGAAAGGGAAGAGGGAATAATGTGAGAAACAGCACATTACAGGCTGAGCAGGCCTTATTCGTTAGTAGTGCTTGAGACCAGAAGGGGGTTATGTTTAGGGTATATTTTTCATACTTTGGAGTATTTTCACCCACGTAATCATAGAATAATAGAATAGGAAGAGACTACAGGGACCTTCCAGTCCCGCCCCCTTTCATGCAGGAAAAGCACAATCAAAGCATCCCTGACAGATGGCCGTCCAGCCTCTGTTTAAGGGGCTTCTACCACACTCCAAGGCAGAGAGTTTGGTCAGGGAGTTCTTCCTAATGTTCAGGTGGAATACCCTTTCCTCCAAAAGTAATCTATACCCACAAATACAACGGTATGTATAGGTCAATAGTCAATAAACAGGTATTTTTAGCCATGTATAAATATGTGGACTGGACTGACCTTGAAGGAGCTGGGGGTGGTGACGGCCGACAGGGAGCTCTGGCATAGGCTGGTCCATGAGGTCACGAAGAGTCGGAGACGACTGAACGAATGAACAACAACAAATATGTGAGAGGACGCCACAGGGAGGAGGGAGCAAGCTTGTTTTCTGCTTTCCTGGAGACTAGGATGAGTAACAATGGCTTCAAACTACAATTTATTTATTTATTTGGGACATTTATATGCCGCCCTTCTCATCCCAAAGGGGACTCAGAGCGGCTTACAGGATATATATATACAAACAATATATTATTAACATAGTACAATATCAGTTTTAAATATTGCTATATTGCACTATATCAATTATACTGTAATATTATTAGTAATATTACATGTAATATAAATATATAATTATAATATCATATTATTATTAGTAGTATTATATTGCATTACATTATAATATTATAAATACTATATGTTGGAGATTAGGACGCAGAACAATGGCTTCAAACTACAAGAAAGGAGATTCCATCTGAACTGAGGAAGAACTTCCTGACTGTGAGAGCCGTTCAGCAGTGGAACTCTCTGCCCCGGAGTGTGGTGGAGGCTCCTTCTTTGGAAGCTTTTAAACAGAGGCTGGATGGCCATCTGTCAGGGGTGATTTGAATGCAATATTCCTGCTTCTTGGCAGGGGGTTGGACTGGATGGCCCATGAGGTCTCTCCAACTCTTTGATTCTATGATTCTATGAAATATAAACTTGTATTGGGTAAACAAGTACAAATTTACAAGTAATAAACTAAACATGAATTTGCCGCTTGTGAAGTCAGTTCGTTGAACTGAAGAGTCTGCAGAGCACACGGCCAGTTTCAACTTTTTTAGTCTTCCTCAGGCAACTATGTTTAGGAATATTGTAATACTTTTTTAAATTTACTATACTTGTATACCATCTTTCTCAGTCTTATTGGCGACTCTAAAGTCAGTACACACAACAAATTACAATTTAAGTATTAAAATAATATAAAACTGCAAAAGAAGAAATAAAAACAATAAAAACCAACATCATTATCATCAGCGTCTCCTAGTTTAATAACATTGTCAAAGTTCCATTGTCGAGTGATTCCATTTCCTATGTCAGTTACTCTGCATTTGTAAACGCTTGCTCATATAACCATGTCTTAACTTGTCTCCGAAACATTAAGAGTGAGGGAGACAATCTAATCTCCTTAGGGAGGGTGTTTCATAGCCGAGAGGCCACCACATAGAAGGCCCTGTCCCTTGTCCCCGCCAAACGTACTTGTGATGAGGGAGAGATCGAGAGCAGAGCCTCCCCGGATGATCATAAAGTCCTAGATGGTTCATAAGGGGAGATGCATTTGGACAGGTAAATCATCGTCTGAGCCATTCCAGTGTTTACTTTAGTCTAATTCCGTGTTTGACTGTTGCATTAGATTCTGAAAGCTTGTTCAAATAGCCACATTTTCATTTTTTCCCAGAAGGTCAAGAGGGAGGGGGCTGATCCAATATCACTGGGGTGTGCACCACTGAGAAGGCCCTGTCTCATCCCCGCCAGTCGCACCTGCAAAGAAAGCAGAACCAAGAGCAGGGCCTCCCCAGATGATCTTTTAGATGGTTCATAGGGAGAGATACATTTGAACAGGTAAGCTGGGCCAGAACCGTTTAGAGCTTTATAGTCTAAAGCCAGCACTTTGAATTGTGCCCGGTAACAGACTGGCAGCCAGTGGAGCTGGTGCAGCAGAGGGGTTGTATGCTCCCCGAGCTTTGCTTCTATTAACAATCTGGCTGCTATCCTTGGACCATTTGAAGCTTCCGGACAGTCTTCAAAGGCAACCCCACATAGAGCGCGTTGCAGTAGTCAGTAGCTCCCTTCTGACTCTAGGCTCTAATGTACTACTTCATGGCAAATGCGGGTTGGGCTGGACCATCTGCTATTTTCATATAAATACATTTCAAACAGGTATGAATACTCACAATTACACATTTCTGTAACAGTCACTTAATATTTCTCTCCCAAGTAGTGTTCTATGTCTTTTTTCTTTTTGTAAATTCTATCAAAGGAGGGTACTGAAAAGGAACAAACAGTGGCTATAATCAAATGAAAATTGCTTGAGATTACAATTACGAATATATATTCATATACTCACAGTTTATATATCTTCGTAATTGTAGTCTCACGCATATTTCTGATGTATGGAGCATCAGCATTATACTTGTAAATTTGTACTTGTTTACCCAATATAAGTTTATATTTCATACCTGTTTATTGATTATTGACCTATACATACTGTTGTATTTGTGGGTATAGTTTACTTTGGTGGATAATCATAGAATCATAGAGTTGGAAGAGACCTCATGGGCCATCCAGTCCAACCCCCTGCCAAGAAGCAGGAATATTGCATTCAAAGCACCCCTGACAGATGGCCATCCAGCCTCTGTTTAAAAGCTTCCAAAGAAGGAGCCTCCACCGCACTACGGGGCAGAGAGTTCCACTGCTGAACGGCTCTCACAGTCAGGAAGGTCTTCCTCATGTTCAGATGGAATCTCTCACTAGTTGGGGACAATAATTTGATTTTGGAAATGGTAGATTATTTTGGCTATAATAATTCATTTTATAATTCATATTCCCTTGAGCTTTTGGGCTATAGAAATCAAGATATAAATCTTTGAGGCCATGCAGTTGTAACCAGATATTATACTGGTTCATAGCAGTTTTCAAATAAATGGAAGTTATTTCTCTAAGCAAAAATGCTTTTCTACTGGAAGAATTTTCTCAAATATCTGCCAGGAGAAGAGTTCTGCTGGCAAAAATCTGTCAACAAACGTGTCAAAAATAATGTGGGAATGGAGTTAGGCAAGTCAGGATAAGATGAATTATGTCAGGCCAAAACCAGCTATAATCCCAGCATAAAGTTATGACAAGGCAAGAATAGTCCTAAGAAATTCCCAACACCTCTGGTTTGGTGAAGTTTGGATCCAGCATAGATGCAGCTTATCCTTGGGCAGTAAAGTTTGTGCTTTAAAACTGCAAATCTATTCATAATTATTTGAAGCTCCCTCCGATTTATCTTATTTCTAAGCAAATCTGCATAAAATCAGTTGTGGTTTGCCCTGGTAAGATTTATTGTGCTTATTAGTCTTTTATTTTGCTTTTCTGCAATAGGATTTACTTTCCTTCCACCATGTACATTTGATCCCAAACTATTAAAGATGACGACTGCAGCAAGACCAACATTTGAACCTGCGAGAGGAGGGAGAGGGAAAGGAGAAGGTGACTTAAGTCAGCTTTCCAAACAATATTCCAGCAGAGATCTTCCTTCTCATACTAAAATCAAATACAGGTAAGAGGCTGTTAACATTTCTTAGGGAAATTTATTTTTGCAGTAATGCTTATTTTGCTGTATATAATTTCCTCCCAAGGTGTGTAAGTAACCATATATCCAATCCAGTGACAGGCACCAATAGTTATAGAAGAAAGTTCTGACAGCAGACAGTTTTTTTCTGGCTGCTTATGTTTTCTAAATGCCATATATGTTAGCTTTCACAAGTCAATAAAAAGTGGAATACTAATAACATGTATGGAAGTCTAGTTTTCCTGGATGTTGCAGAATATCTTCTATTCAAAGACTTTCATTGGTGTTTAATAAAGACCATATATCTTCTATGACCAAGGAATACCAGCATCCAATGTCAATTAGACCTAGCAGGTTCTAGGGAAAAAGTCCCTTACATTTTGGCAGATATGGTCTTTTCCCCCCCTGTCCCTCATGTTTGCTGTATCATAATAATAAAAGTGGATGGACTAATCATTTTTCCTGCCAAGAAAGGCTTGAGAGATACATTTCCTGTTAAGGGAATTTTTTGTTTTTAATTCTCATTTTAAAAAACTGACATTTTATTGTAGGGTTTTAATTATGATGATGATTATTATTATAATAAGTATATGAGATGCTTAGGACTTCAAGAATGAAGCTGGGGATAATATTTTGTTGTAAAAATAGTATTCTGTTTAGGTGAGATTTATAAGAGATGCTTTCCATCTTGTACTCTTGGCTGTTGTGCAGTACCAATAATTTCTCTGTTTCAGACAAACAAATCAGGATGCCCCTGAAGAGGTGCGCAACCGTGACTTCAGGAGGGAACTGGAGGAGCGTGAACGCGTTGCTGTAAGAGAGAAGAACAGAGATAGGCCAGCACGAGGTCTGTGTTGTGTTAGTCAATCAGTGCTGCCTTTTGTAAGTTCAAGTGAGGTATATATCAGATTGTGGATTATGAATGGCTCAGGTTTCAATATGTCTTATATGTTTTACGTCCATGTTTGATATTATGTATATAATGATTTTAATTCATAGTTATATGTTATTGATTTAGATATGCTATGTATTGCTTTTATGTGTATGCTTGGCATTGAATTTCTGCCATTTATTGTGTTGTACACCACATTGAGTCCCCCCAGGGGTGAGAAAAGTGGTATAGATATGCAATAAATAAATAAATAAATAAATAAATAAATACTGTGACCATGGTATTGTAGGTCCAGTGGATATGATGGCAGCAAAGAAAATGCTGGAGAGTTTTGTGAATCTTTTAATTTCTTGTCTAAAAACAAGACTTAATGTTTAGAGCACCAATTTATTGTGGACTTTTCCCCTAGGAAAGGGTCGTATTCCTTATGGTGAACTGTCAGTTTAGGTGATGTACAAAAACAAAAGCTGAGAATAGGCAGCCCTGCCTTTTCACCTGATGAACTGGTGAGGATGAATGGAGAGGCTTTGAATTTAGGCTAATAACCATGGGTTCTTTTGCCCCACTTTAGTGTGATTAGGGCCATTGGGAAATCCAAAATCAATTGATCCTAGAGATAGATGCTGGCCTACAGGCTTATCAGTAGTAACCTGTCTGTAAAAGGTAAAAGTAAAGGTTTCCCTTGACATTAAGTCTACTCATGTCCAGCTCGGGGGGGGGGGGTGATGCTTTTCTCAATTTCTAAGCTGAAGAACCGCCGTTGTCCATAGACACCTCCATGGCCGTTATGATGGCACACCAGGAAGATCTAATGAGAAACCTAAATGTGTCTGGCTATTTTCCCAGTGACCATCGGTATGCCCTAATTACTATAATTCCCCCAAAATAAAACTCTACAAACAAGATTAAGTTTAACAATTGTTTACTAAATAATCAAGGTGAATTACAGTGTAAATCTGAGGTAACAAATTTGATAGAGTTAGAACAGTAAAATTTAAACTCTGAGGTAACAAACTATAATTTCTATGAGGTAAGTATTCTATAAACTATGACAAGTGTGTGCTATAACTATGGCAAATATAACTATTCTTTATTACAAATACTATAAACTCTAAGGCAAATATAACTGTTAACTATTACATGTATATGAACTATCTATCTATAATCTATAAACTTTGGCAAATACGTGATAAGGATGTTCTGTTCAAATTGCTAGGCCAGACCAGACACTATCTGGCAACTATCTATAAGCTATGACCATCAAAGAATGCCATAAGTTCAATCACCAGCCCATTCTGGCTCTGAGTCAGAATGGGCTGCACCAACTGAGCTCGGACTCTATGGGGGAACCTAAGCTTCTCCCCTAAACTTGGCAAAATGGAACAGTCCAACTGGGAAATAAACAGGCCGAGACTTCACAGCCTAGATTACTGAATGGAGCGCCGTTACCTTCCTGTCAAGGTGGTATCTATTGATCTACTCAGATTTACATGTTTTCAAACTGCTAGGTTGGCAGAAGCTGGCCTAACAGCGGGAGCTCACCTTGCTCCCTGGATTCAAACTGTCAACCTTTCAGCCAGCAAGTTCAGCAACTCACCAGCCCATCAGGGGGCCCACCTGCCTGTAGCATATAATAATTGCCTACACAAAATGGTGTAAATTTAATGTCACTTTTTCGTAGAGGATCAAAATATTTACATACACTTGTCTGTTTTGGTGCTGAGATTAGTAAACTTGTATTTTTAGTGTTGTTATTGAAATAACATCATCTTAGATGACACTCTGTTTCAATCTCTTTTCTTTCATTGTGTTTGGCCTTCTGGATTCTTACAATTTTTCCTGCATTTCTCCTGCAGAACATACAACTTCTTCTTCAGTGTCTAAGAAACCCCGATTAGATCAGATCCCTGCAGCTAACCTGGATGCAGATGATCCTCTGACTGATGTATGTATTCTCAGTTGCTGGGGAACTGTGCCTCAGCACACAGAAAGCAGCATTATGTCTAATAATTTATCAGTCACAAAATCTGGAGAAGCTACTTTTCCAGAAATTCTCAGTCACTGCCCAGTGGCAGAAATGGCTGGGGAACTCTGGAAGTTGTGGTTCAGAAAAAAACACTGTTTTCTCTGAATATCTAGCATACCAGTTAAGGGCATGTCTCAGATCCTTTCAATGTTGAGAGGAGCTCTCTTTGTATGCACCCTAGGACCTATATTATGTTCATTAGGCCTTTGTAATTGGCAATTAGCTGAGACAAATAATAACCTGAGACGTTGGGTGGTTTCCGGGCTGTATGGCCATGTTCTAGTGCATTTTTCATGACATTTTGCCTGCATCTGTGGTTGGTATCTTCAAATCCGATGGTAGTAATCCAAGTGGAGTATATATACTTGTGGAATGTCCAGGGTGGGAGAAAAGGGATTGTCAGCTAAACAGGTGTAAACGGTGTAATTAACTAGATTTGTGTATGTTGAGTGGGATCCACCTATTACCATGTGAGCAACCATGAGGGTAGCATTGCTGCCTAGAGACATCCTTTGTCTGGGTGGTGTTCAGTAACTCTTGATTGCTTACTGCCTGGAGACCTCCTGCGTCAGACAGCACCCATACAGCACCCACAACATCCGCGTGATTCCGGCCATGAAAGCCGTCAACAATACAATAACCTGAGAGTCAGGGCTTCAGAAGCCTCCTGGTTTGGATATTTGCACTGGGCACTGTCAGTCACATAATTATCCATAGTTACATAGCTGGTGGGCTGCTTGTGATGCAACCCTGGCATTTTTATGAAAATTAGTTATCTTAGACTTCATCTACATTGTAAAATAAGTGCTGCTGGACCCCACTTTAACTGCCGTGGCTCAGTCCTATGGAATCAAAGAGATGCACAGTTTTACAAGATCATTAGCCATCACTGTGTGCTGCTGCCTCCCAGGATTCCATAGCATTGAGCCATGGCAAGTAAAGTGGTGTCAAACTACATTAATTGTACATTGTAAGTGTGCCCTTAGAGATTATAAAGCAGGGTTAATAAAATATATACATTAAACCTATTAATGAACCTGCCATGCTTCCCATAAAGATTAAACATTTTCTCATAAAATTTTGCATCTCTACCATCCTCAGGATGTTTTTAAGACCAAGAGAAGCCCTATGTATAAACAGGAAGGGAGCTGACAGTGGCATCACTTTACTTTCTGGGTGTAAAAGAGCCCAGAAATTTCACGCTATACATTATAGAAAGTCTAGTGAGAAAAGGGGGGGGGGGGATTTGAAGATTGTTTGTTAAGTAGAATGAGTGGGAGGAATTAGGGTGCACTGTGAAGCTTTGAATGTGATTTTCCTCCTTCTTGGCAGGGGGTTGTACTGGATTACCCACAAGGTCTCTTCCAACTCTGATTCTATGATTCTAAGTTGCCGCTCTCTAAGGTCCACTGAGGAGTGTGTTTGCTATCCTGTTTGATTTTCCTACTCTTTCTGTGTCATGGAGCCTCACTTCAGGAAATTGACAGATTCAATATGAGCATTCTCTTTTCAATGAAGGCTTTCGCACATTGCTGTTGATTAAGACTCCATTTGCACTGTCACTATTTTGCAGAAGGAGCTGCATTATATAGTCAGTGTAGATTCAAATAATCCAGTTCAGCTGAATACTACTACTACTACTACTACTACTACTACTACTAATAATAATAATAATAATAACCCGCCACCATCTCCCAGAACGGACTTGGGCAGCTTACTAAAACGCTAGTAGTGCAACACATACACAAAATACAATAAAATACATATACATAAATATATAAAAGTAACAATGTAGATTTACATAAACACATTTACATAATCAATATCAGCCACATAAAGTGCTAGAGTGAGATGAATCACTAGGTCTTCAAGTTATAAACATTTGGAGTTCTCATCATGTTCAAAGACCTGTTTAAAAAGCCATATTTTCGGGTTTGTCAGAAAACGTTGGAGAGTGGGGGCTAGCCTAATTTCTCTAGGGAGGGTGTTTCAAAGCCAGGGGGGGGGGGGATCATGAAGGCCTTCAGTGTTGTCCCCACAAACAGTGCTTGTGATGGAGGTGGAACCGAGAGAAGGGCCTCCTTGGCAGATCTTATTGCCCACGCCAGTTCATAGAAGGAGATGCGGTCTCGGAGATAGGTTGGATCCGAACAGTATAGGGATTTGATAACCTGCACTTTGAATTGAGCCTGGAAACGTACTGGCAGCCAGTGGAGCTGTTTTAATAGGGGCATCGTGGTCTCTCTATAACTAGCCCCTGTTAGCAACCTGGCTGCCGACCTTTGCACTAATTGCAGTTTTCGAGCTTACTTCAAAGGCAGCCCCACGTAGAGTGCGTTGCAGTAGTGCATCCTAGATGTAGCCACTGTGGCCAAGTCAGGTTTTTCGAGGTATAGTCACAGCTGATGCACAGGTTTTAACTATTGAAAGGCTCTCCCAGCCACCGCCAACACCTGAACTTCAAGTGTCAGTGCTGAGTCCAGGAGGACCCCCAGACTGCAGACCTGTGTTCTCAGGGAGAGTGTAACCCTGTTGAGCACAGATTGCCACCCTATACCCTAATCAGCCTCACAACTGACCAGAAGGATCTCTGTCTTGTCTGTATTAAGCTTCAGTTTGTTGGCCCTCATCCAGTCCATCACAGCTGCCAGGCACTGGTCCAGGATCTGAGGAGCTTCCTTGGAATGATGTGTAAAAGAGTAGTAGAGTTATGTGTCATCTGCATAGAGATGACACCCAACTCCAAAACTCCGGATGATCTCACCAGCGGTTTCATGTAGGTGTTGAAAAGCATGGGGAGAGAATAGAACCTTGTGGGACCCCCAGTTCAAAGGCCAGAGGTCCGAGCAGGTGTCTCCTGACATCACCATCTGGGTGCAATCCTCCAGGAAGGAGCAGAGCCACTGCAGAGCAGTGCCCCCAAGACCCATTCCAGAGAGCGGACCCAGAAGGATACCATGGTCGATGGTATTGAAATTGCATTACATGGGTCTACAGTGAGCATATAATGGTAGTGAAGGTAGGGCCTCGGAAGCTCTGGAAAAGGAGTTATATCTTACAGATTTTTTTATGAGGCAAAACACGAGAACCTCCAACGTGTGACAGATTTTTTTATACATTGGGTGACCACATGGGGAATGTAAATTGCATCCATTTGTGACCACAGTTTCAAGAGTTCAGTGATTCATACCACATGAGGTGTCACATAAGAAGCTCTGACGAAGCTGTTCTGTAATGGACAGGAAATGGAAAGAGAAGGTGACTGTCCTTGCTGTCTTTGTAGGAAGAAGATGAAGATGAAGACTATGACGAAGAGAGTGACGATGATACCGCTGCTCTATTAGCTGAGCTGGAAAAGATCAAAAAGGAACGTGCAGAAGAGCAGGCCCGAAAGGTAAATGCGCCAATTAAATCTTATTGAACAAATTGCTTTAAATTGACACAGATCACTGGGTCTTTATATTATAAATTCCAGTATCATTGATCTTTAGTTCTACAAGTTGTAGCTTTTGGGAATTGTAAGCCTAAAAGGAGGGGATGAGATTTCCTGTCCTTGGGGTATAAGATTTTATCTAGTACTGTCTTGAAAGTAAGTTTCCTCTCTTTTGGCCAGACGCTTTTCCCTTTTTGGCTTCCAAAGTTCCTTTTAACTAAAACATGGAAGAGTGATTGCCTATTTCTAATAGGCAGAAATTTGTATTTTGACACTTGAACTGAGGCTATTTTGTAGAGCTTGGTTCAATAGTTACGAATCTTTAATCCACTTCAATCTGGGTGTTGATAAGTGCTGAATATATATTTTCACACACTTACTGCTACAACCAAATAGTCTTTCTGTGAATACTTTGGTATTTTGTTGTAACAGGAAATGTGACTGTACAAGCTCAGCCAAATTCCAGGGCATGGTTAATACTAATCCTAAAACAAGAAACAATCCCAAACTGAAACAAGATGCATATTAGGATTGGAGTCCAGCCTTATCTGGAGTGGATTTAGTTTGCTCTTGTGAGTGTACAAGTTCAGCCATGAGCCAAGTACATTGACCACTTCCTACCCACTGCTCAAATGTCTGTGATTAGAGGATAGTGGGTTGGGCATTGCAATCCCTGGCTTTTGGTTGCGTTGAAGATGTGCCTTTTTATTTTATTTTTTGAAAACAGCGAAATCTGATCTGGTTGTGGTTAGCTCTTTGTTTAAATCTTTAATTTTTTAAACTCTGCTCCTTACTGTGGATATATAAAGCCAGAATTTCAAAGCTGAAGTCCAGCTCTTTGCTTATTTTCAGAAAATAAGACAGCTGCACCTTAAAACTAATAGCTTAAAGGGAAACCTCTAGATATATTTGGGAAGATGTCCAAAATTGTTTTTGGCTAAGTCCTCAGGCTGAGAAAGCAGCTGGTCCCTTTTCTATAATCCTAAAAGAAAAAGTACTAGAGTTCATAGAGTTTAGTAACTTCTTCGTCTTCACCTTCCATCCTGATGTGTTTCTCGCTTTCTGTACGAAGCTATCAACTAACACAATAGTCTTTCTTGCCTCTCATCTAATCAATTACCCCAGTATTCTTTCTCTTTAGCTATTCAGTGCTTTTTCTCTTCTGTCACAAACAAACCTTTGTACTAATCTGCTCTCTTTTTTTCTTCATGTTGATATTCCCATTTATTCCAGTATTCTTTCAAGTCTTTTCCTTGCTGACTCTCCTTTCCAGGCAACAGAAATCTTTTTTTCTTTTCTAACTTACTTAAGAGTTTTAGGGTTCTGCAGACAGAAACTCTATTCACACCCAAAACAAATACTTTCTTCCACCTAGTGACTAAAATTGGTACTGCAAGATACAGGTAGATAGGAATTAATTAAAAATCAGTTACCATATATACTTGAGTATAAACCTAGTTTTTCAGCCCTTTTTTAAGGCTGAAAAAGCCCCCTCGGCTTATAGTTGAGTCAAGGTTATTAATTATTTTATTCTATTATTATTATTATTATATTTATTATTTTACTCTATTATTATTATTACATTTCCATTAGTTTACTCTATTTTTATTATTTTATTATTTACTCTATTATTACTGTTATTATTACATTTCCATTATTTTACTCTATTATTTTTGGAAGGATACGTAAGCACATTTACATTGAAGAAGGTTAGAATAATGTTTTAATCAGAGTTGGATGATCTTATCTCAAATTACAGTTTGATGTAATTTAAGAGAAGATTGTATTCAAAAACATTTAATCGATGCCTCAATGTAACTTTATTGGTATCTACTCGAGTCAATACATTTTCCCAGTTTTTGTGGTAAAATTAGGTGCCTCGGCTTATATTTGGGTCGACTTATACTCGAGTATATATGCATTATTTCACTTTAAAAACCAGACATCCTTCAAATGTTGAGCCGTCGGGTAACTTCAATATACGTGCTAAATCAGGAGATTTCTTGTAGTTGTCATGCATACAATTGCACATTCTCTGTTGTTAGTATGGAAGAAACAGGTCTTTTTCTCATCTTGACAGGAACAAGAGCAAAAGGCTGAAGAGGAGAGGATACGGATGGAAAACATCCTGAGTGGAAACCCTTTGCTGAATCTTACTGGCCCTGTGCAGCCTCAAACAAATTTCAAAGTAAAACGGAGGTAGGTTGGTCTTATTTTTGGATCCCTGCAATATACTTCCACCCATTCCCCATTCTTCTACAATTCCAGAGTTATTAAATTGGGCTTTGATCCCATTGTGCAAGGGATTATTTTTAATTTGATTATCTAGTATGTAGAATACAGTCTATCCCAGTGGATCTAAAAAAGGGGAAGGTTTAGAGATAGAGAATAGTTGCTAAAAACAGACTAGAGAAGGGGAAGCTTATGCTTTACCAGGTCATAAGTTTGTTTTTTATTTGATGTGATGTATTTTATATAATGCTTCTATAGAAAGTTTTACCTCCCACTTTTAGGCACCATTAGTCTACATGATAATCATCTAGGCATCTGTTCTTGATTTAAATAAATTTTGAGTTGCTGTGAGTTTTCTGGGCTGTATGGCCATGTACCTCGCAACCTCTGAGGATGCCTGCCATAGAGTTGGGTGGAACGCCAGGAGGTAATGCTTCTGGAACGCCAGGAGATAATGTTTCTGGAACAAGCCCAGTAAACTCACAGCAACCCAGAGGTTCCAGCCACGAAAGCCTTCGACAACACTTTAAATAGATTTTGCTATAAATGTTGTCCTGGAAAGCTTTGGTATAGTCTCTTCAGGAGCCATGAGACTGTTGCAGTAGACTAACATTGAGAACTCCTTGAAATCATATGTTAAATTTCTTATGTTTGGCCTTATAGTTGATTGGCTGATTTTAGACCTCAGTATCCAAGGCTGCCATAGAACTCCATGGCTTGGAATTGAACTAGAAAATATCTATAAGCAAATACCATTATATATCTACTACCATAATGCTATAGTAATTTTTTTAATTGTATGCTAATGTTTTAGCCTTTTGAGTCTCTTTGGGAGAGATAAAGTGGGGTATAAATTAGACTTGGGCCAAAATTAGTTTGAATAAAAATGATTTGTAATATTCGGTGGTCTGCTTTATATAATATTCGAAAATAGAATGGGGAAAAAGGAAGCTGCAAAGCCAGCAAAATGCATTAAAGGAACAGGATTTTATCGGTTCACAGAGAGGAAGGAGTTAAGTCTGCAATATACCTGAGCAGGAGCTGAAGCTGCGTCCTTTTGGAAAGTTTCCTTGGCTCCTCCTCCAGAGAGGGCCCCTTCTGGGAATTTGCTTTCCCAGCAGCACTTGCATAGGATGGACATTGAAAAGTCTCTGAACATGATGGGAGTTGAAGTTTTTCACTCTCTCTGTTTCTCAGCTAGTAAAGGACTTGGTTGTGTCCATGTTCTGATTGACCTGAGAATGGACACAACCAGCAACTACAATTCCTAGAACTCTCTCTTGCAGTTTGTCTTATTTTTAAAAATGTTATGGGTAAAACTTTTTTAAAAAATTAAAAAAAAATAGTAGATTGGTGAATTGTTTTGAAACTTGGAGGCCTGCAGTTGAAAATGGGGTCTAAAACTGAGGTAGGTTTCATGCAGATAGGCCTTAAAATTGCTGAGGATTGAACCTTTAAAGTTTTCCATTGTAGCCAATGGGCTGAATCTTTGCTGAATGAAAACAGCAACACCCCTCTCCATTCGAGTGACTTCCCAGTAAACAGAATGAGGGACCCCAACAATGGACCTCAAATTGCATGCCTTTTGGCCTCTGGTATAAATAAATATAATAATAATAGACTAATGTCTGTCTGTTCATTCTCATGTTGCATTCTCTTGTTGTTGTTGTTGTTTAGTAAAGCTGATTCACTTCCCTTCTCTTTTCCCTGCTGTTTTTTTAAGATGGGATGATGACGTGGTCTTCAAGAACTGTGCAAAGGGAGTTGATGAGATGAAAAAAGATAAAAGGTTCGTCAACGACACACTAAGGTCGGAATTTCACAAAAAGTTTATGGAAAAATACATCAAGTAGTCCTTTCAGGGGTTGTTTTTTTTTAAGTGCTGCATTGCTAATAGACTCAATGAATCAAGTCATTTTCCCTCCATCTGAAAAATCTTCTGGTTTAAAGTGAGAATTTTGTCAACAAGTAGCAGCTCTAACCCAAGGTCACTCATACCATTTTAACTAAATTCCTCAGTTTGAATATTTTGTGGTTCCCTTGTTTCAACAAGGCCAAGAACGTTTTTTTATTATTATTATTTTCTTCTTGCTATGAATTCGTTTCTCATGCTGTTTCTGTAAATGTTTTGAAATAAATTCATCAAACCGAAGGCTTCTGTGTTTTTCAAATTACTGTTGCAACTAGGAGATACGTAGGAAAGATATTGTGAAAAAGATCATGCACGTGGCCTGGTTGCCTGATCTGTATCCTGTATCATTGGAAGGATGGAAGATGAACCAGCCTCTTCTGTCTTTGGTCCTCACAGTAACCAGTGAGTAGGAGTCTTCATTCCTTGGCTGAATCCACTTGCGATCTTTGGGCCTCTGGAAATCTTTTAGTTGTCCAGCTGTACTCTGTACTAAATAAAGGTCAGGCAAGGTGATTACATTAAACAAAAGCAGGACATGTGAAAGATCTTGGAGCAGTAGTAGACCACAAGTTGAACGTAAGGCAACAATTTATTTATTATTTATTTATTTACACTATTTGTATACTGCTTTTCTCAGCCCGAGGGGGACTCAAAGCGGTTTACACATAAGTAATGGTAAAATTCAATGTCAGTACAAACAATTACAATTATACACTACAATTAGACATAAATCAAGTTAAAAACAGTGCATCCACAAGCAATAAAACAATCATTAAAACAATAAAACAGTCTCGTCCGTCAAATTGCCGTTCCAGTCATTGTCTTTCTGAAATGCTGCATACATTTACTTCTGCTGCCCAAAGGCCTGGTCTCAAAACCATGATTTTAATTTTTTTCTAAAAGCCAGGAGGGAGGGAGCAGATCTTACCTCATTTGGAAGTGTGTTCCATAGGCGAGGAACCACAGTTGAGAAGGTCCTGTCTCTCGTCCCCGCCAGATGCATCTGTGCTGTTGATGGGAGCGAGAGCACAGCCTCCCCGGATGATCTTAGATTACGAGGTGGGACGTAGGGGTGGATGTGATGCAGCAGCTTAAAAAGCCAGTGGAATTTTTGGCTACATCAAAATAATAATAATAATAATAATAATAATAATAATAATAATAATAATAATGTTGCCATACCAGGTGACAGTCACATTGAGGAAAAATAAATAATAAGGAAAAACTCAGCCATTATCAGGACCTCAAAATCGAACTGCAAAGGCTCTGGCATAAACCAGTACAAGTGGTCCCAGTGGTCAACGGCACACTGGGTGCTGTGCCAAAAGATCTTAGCCGGCATTTGACAACAATCAACATTGACAAAATCACGATCTGTCAACTGCAAAAGGCCACCTTACTTGGATCTGCGCACATCATTCAAAAATACATCACACAGTCCTAGACGCTTGGGAAGTGTTTGACTTGTGATTTTGTGATACGAAATCCATCATATAGATCTTGTTTGCTTTGACATACTGTGGTTTTGTGTGAGTAAAATAATATCTCTATCTTTTTGCCCCGCACACAGGTCTCCCTCAGTCTTCTTGCCACGAGCGGGCCTCTCTCAGTCTTCTCGCTGCACATGCTTCCCTCCTCTTGCCACAGCGAGAAGATCAAGGGAGGACCACACATGCGAGTGGGCCTCTCTTGCTCTTCTTGCAGGGAATAGGGGCGTCCCTCGGTTTTCTTGCCCTGTGCAGGACTCCCTTACTATTCTCACTGTGGAGAGCAGAGGAGGGAAGGAGGCCTGCGGGCGGCGAAAAGACAGACAGAAGCAGTCCGGTGAGTCAGAGATTCAAGTATAAGCCGAGGGGGGCTTTTTCAGCCCTCAAAAAGACTGAAAAACTCAGCTTATACTCGAGTAGGTAAAGGTTGTCCCCTGACATTAAGTCCAGTCATGTCTGACTTGGGTGTGGTGCTCATCACCATTTCTAAGCCGAAGAGCTGGTGTTGTCCATAGACACCTCCAAGGTCATGTGGCTGGCATGACTGCATGGAGCGCCGTCACTTCCCGCAGAAGCGGTACCTATTGATCTACTCACACTTGCATGTTTTCGAACTGCTAGGTTGGCAGAACTGTTGTGATATGTTTTTTTAATTATTCACCTACACCTCACAACCTCTGAGACCTCACAACCTCTGAGGATGCCTGCCATAGATGCAGGTGAAACATCAGGAGAGAATGCTTCTAGAACATGGCCATATAACCCGAAAAACCTGCAACAACCCACTATTCACCCACAATTTTTCTTGGTCACTTGGTGGTTTAAATTCACCATTATATTTTTGAATTTTGTTAATAAATGGCTTCCATATATTTTCAAATAGACCTTCTTTTATTTCTTTTGCTGATCTTAATTTGTCGGTTAACTTTTCTGATAGGATTATAACCCATATCCTAGTTGACCAATTCTTTATGGATAAGGAGAGGCAGAACTTGAGTCCCACAGTGGTCTAGGACAGTCTTACCTGAGTATTGTCTTCCAGATGTATTCAACTACAATTCACCAATTCTGCATGTACTTCTTATTTTATTTCTTTAGGTTGTGCATCAGGTCTGCTCAAAATGGCAAACAGTAGTGTTCAATGTGTTGTTGAAGGCTTCCATGGCCAGAATAACTGGTTTGCTGTTAGTTTTCCGGGCTGTATGGCCACGTTCCAAAAGCACTCTCTCCTGACGTTTCGCCCACATCTATGGCAGGCATTCTCAGAGGTTGCCTGCCATAGATGTGGGCAAAACGTTAGGAGAGAATGCTTCTGGAACGTGGCCATACAACCCAGAAAACCTACAGCAATCCAGCAGTTTCAGCTTGCATTAGTTACGTGAGGGCACGGTCCAGAGTGACTCCCAGATATTTGGGTGTGCTACAATGCTCCAGTGGGATTCCTTCCCAGGTAATCCTCAGAGCTCAGGATGAGTCACTCTGGACCGTGCCCTGACTTGCAAGAAGTACTGCATGAATATCAAGCAAAAAGTGGACGCTAGAAATAATATCATATGAAAACTGACTGGCACAACCTGGGGATCACAACCAGACACAGTGAAGACATCTGCCCTTGCGCTATGCTACTCTGCTGCTGAGTATGCATGCCCAGTGTGGAACACATCTCCCCACGCTAAAACAGTAGATGTGGCTCTTAATGAGACATGCCGCATTATCACGGGGTGTCTGCGCCCTACACCACTGGAGAAATTACACTGTTTAGCCGGTATTGCACCACCTGACATCCGCCGGGAAGTAGCAGCCAATAGTGAAAGGACCAAGGCAGTGACATCTCCAGCTCATCCCCTGTTTGGGTATCAGCCAGCACGTCAACGACTTAAATCAAGAAATAGTTTTCCAAGATCTACAGAGACACTCGCTGGAACACCTCAGCAAGCGAGAGTCCAAAAGTGGCAGGCTCAAACCCAGAACCTCAATCAATGGCTGATACCAAATGAGAGACTCCCCCCTGGGCACACAGAAGACTGGGCGACTTGGAAGGCGCTGAACAGACTGCGTTCTGGCACCACGAGATGCAGAGCCAACCTCAAGAAATGGGGCTACAAAGTGGAATCCACAACATGCGAGTGTGGAGAAGAGCAAACCACAGACCACCTGCTGCAATGCAACCTGAGCCCTGCCACATGCACAATGGAGGACCTCCTTGCAGCAACACCAGAGGCACTCCAAGTGGCCAGATACTGGTCAAAGAACATTTAATCAACTACCAAGCTTGCAAACTTTGTGTTTTGTTTTGTTTGTTTGTTTGTTTGTTAAAAAATGCAACGCAACTGTTTGGTCTGCCCCTGACACGATAAATAAATTAGTTACGTCTTTTAGTATGTGAAACTTGTACTGAGATGATTGATACTAAGAAGGGAAATTTCATTTCACAAAGCTTTAAAAATGCATAAGAAGAAAATGTGATGGGAATGGCTGAACACATGACACCCGTCTCTCTCTCTGTGAGTTTCAATGGCTCTTTGGAGGATAATGTTAGCAGCCTCTTCTGTATGATTGTAAGAGCTCCTTCAGCACACGCTGTTCTAAGCTTCAATTTTACTTAATTGCACTCTAATCCTTTGCTCTCACCTACTTTTCCCATCACTAATCTGTGCATTCCCTCGTTGTGCTTCACTAAGCTAGAAGTCCTACAGCCGCCTTTGCTCACAGCTGCAATTAAATTTATTTCCCTTATATTAAAAAAACCTCTCCTGTAATTTTTTCCTTAGTTTAGCCAGTATTGCACCACCTGACATTTGCCAGGAAGTAGCATGAAAGGATCAAAGCATTGACATCTCCGACCCATCCTTTGTTTGGATATCAACCAGCACATCAATGCCTTAATTTATTACTTATTTATTTACAGTATTTATATTCTGCCCTTCTCACCCTGCAGGGGACTCAGGATGGATTACAATGCATATGTACATGGCAAAGATTCAATGCCACTTAGACATACAACATATATAGACAGACGCAGAGGCAATTTGACATTCCAGCTGTGCCCAAGCTTTTTCCAGCTTCATCAAGTTATGCTGGATTCCGGCTTTATTCTGGCCACAGGGCTTTATTTTTGCCACTTCACTGTCCATTGTGATACCGAATCCTTTGATGGAGCACTTCCTCATTCTTCTGCACGGTGCTGGAAGGTTTTTATAGCATCGTAAATTAGTTAAATTAGCCTCCCTGCATAAGTGGTACCTAAATTTCCTACTTGACAGATGCAACTGTCTTTCAGGCTGCATAGGTCAACAGCAAGCTAGATGAATGACCGGAAGCTCACTCCAACCAGGGCTAGCTTTGAACTCATGACCTCTCAGTCAATATTGATTTAATGCATCTAGCTCTCAGCTAACTGTGCCATAATTAAGAAATAGATTTCTAAGATCTACGGAGATACTTGTAGGAACACCTTAGCAAGCCAGAATCCAAAAGGTTAAAAGCCATGTCTGATACCGAATGAGTTACCAG